GGACTATCACATTCTCTTGCTCCATGAGCTGGAGCCGGAGGAGGAGGCATAGCAGGACAGAGGACAACCACCTGGTGAAAGCACCACTTTCCCAGGAGGGGGCCTTGGTAGCTAACCCTGCCTTCCTCCTCTAAACTAGGCTCCTTTTAGTGTGCTCTATGTAATGGTGAGTTTCCTAGACCAAGAACTGGCGGGCAGCAGGACAATGGCAAGGCCGAAATCTTGGCACCACGAGTAACTTTGAGGGCAGGAAGTAAACAGCTTGGCGTTGCCTCAGTTGGGATTGGGTGGTTCTAATAAGGAGGTAAGGAGGGTATGTGGACAAGAGTAAATGAAATGGAGAAAAGGAGATGTTGGTTCAGCTGGCAAGGCAGATCCCAATGAGAAGTTCTATGCAGGCCAGAAGCCCAGAGGAGAGACAGTCCTCCCTCCCAAGAACTGTCTCTAGGTCACCTCTGGTCTCCAAGCCCAAGTCCCTGCAGCTACTCTGCATTTTCATCTGGCTGCCCCATAGACACTTGTGGCCTAACTATTCTTTCTGAGAGTCTCAGACTTTGGAGTTGAATTGTCTGGCTTCTACTCCTGCTCTGCAACTCATTAGCTGTGTGGTCTGAGGCAAGTGTCTGAACTATTCTTGCCTTGATTTTTCCTGACCATAAACGGGGATGAAAACAAACACCTACCGTATAATATTGTGTCATTTCTCTTCATCAGGCTTGGTGCCTAGTAAGGATTTGCTATCGTCATCCTTCCCCTCATCTATTTCTACTTTAAAAAAAATTATTTTATTTATTATTATTATTTTTAAACTTACTATAGACATCAGAGAGAGAGAAAAAGTGAGAAAGCAAGTTGCCAGGCCCAGGACTTGAACTGCCATCTGCCAAGTGGGAGTCCAGCACCCCAGCCACCACGCCACCTGCTGGCTCCCATATCTCTACTAATGAAAGCCAGTCACCCAAGTCAGACATCTCAGCTTATCAGGGCAGCTGGTGGTGTAGTGATTAAGGGGGCTGGGTCCCACATGGCCAGCCATGCAGTTCAGGTCCCAGACCTGACAGCTTGAAAAACATACCAAGTGCGTGTGCAAGTGTTCCTAAAGTCCCAAGAGGAAAATAGAGGAGAAGAGATCACACCGTGGCCATCCCCCTGCTTCCTCACTTTCCTTCTTTTCTCTCTCCCTCCCTATCTCCCCTCACAAGCAGGCTCTTTGTTAAAAAGCTTACAAGTGATAACAACCTTTCCGCTTTAAGCGGATTTTAAAATAAAAATCCGGGACTATTTGGAGGTGTGGTGGTTAAAGTGGCTAGATCCCACAAGGCCTACTGCACAGTTTGAGTCCTGAATCTACAGACTTGAAAAACATGACAGGTGCATGTGCATGCATGCCCAAAGTCCTGAGGGGAAACTGGAGAAGGGCTTGCAGTATGGTCATCCTCCCTGGGAAGTGCTGCTTCACCTTCTCTCTCTCTCTCTCTCTCTCTGACAAGTGCATGTGCCCTATATCAAATTAAAGGGAAAAAAAAGTTAAAAACTGGGTTGGCCCCAGTGGTTAAGGGAGCCAGATCCCACATGGGACCATGGCCCCTGCAGCTTGAGGAACACGTCTGGTATGTGTGCATGCATACCCCAAATCATGACAGGATGGAGAGAGGGAGGAGGGGAGATTGTGGCATGACCACGCCCCTTGGTGATTGCTTTTCCTCTTGCTCTCCCTCTCTTTCTCTCTGGTGAGTGCACATGCCCTCTGGCAATAAAAATAAATAAGTAAATAAATAAATAATAAAAACTCACCCATCGTGGGCCACTTTAGAGGGAGAAACCCTAAGAGGATTTCCCAGTGATGCTCAGTTTTCAAGTTTGAATTCAGAGTTCTCGCTGTTGGCTTGCCTTTTAATCAACAATTACGAAAACAAGTGGTTGGTTTACAGGCTTTCTAAACTAACGACTGAAACTTGGCTTTCCTAGGAAGGCAGTGGAGAACCCCAGTGGTGTGGTGGATGCCTTGTTATTGGTAACTTTCGGAATCCTGCTACGCTGGCCCACCTTATCCCTACAAAGCAAAGAAAGGTGAAGACAAGTACTAACAGAGGTCTAAAAATATATCAACAAGAATAAATGTGTTGTGAGGAAATTCCAAGATTTATTAAATGCACTTTCAGTGAAAGAAGCCCTACAGAGAATTTCTTAATAAATTTCAAAGACAGGAGCTGTTTGGTCGCTGGAGAAGCCTATATAAAGCGATTGTGGTATTTGCGGAATGTGGAACCGTGGATTGCCTGGGGCGATTGTCCAACTAAGCATCACAATCATCTCCTTTCTGGGACAATGGTTGGGGTTAGATGAAACTCAGGTCTGCATGATGGCAGATTCTGTTAGTGTCATGGACTCCTCAGTTTGGAAAGAACTTAGTAGTGTAGCCCTTTCTTCTTTTTTTAAAATTTTTTTTGGAGAGGTTTTTCGCTATAGGGCGCGTGCGCTCGCCAGCCAGCCAGAGAGAGACATAGAGACAGAAATGGAGAAATCACCCCCCAGGGGGGTTGGTCACGCCGCAATCCCTTCTCCTCCATTCTCCTCTCGGGATCTTGGGCACGCACGCACATGTGCCCGGCGTGAGGTTTAAGCCACCGGGTCCGGGACATGAACCGTGATCGACTACGTGGGAGTCCAGTGACATAGCCATTACACTAACTGCTGGTTCTCTAGTGTAGCCCTTTCTACATGTAATCTATGCTCCCACACTTAGAGATCTGTGGCCAAAAGAGACACTGCCTTTATTTTAAACACCTTGGTAACTCATTCCAAAGTCCAACAACACCCACATCCAGGAAATTCTTCTTGTGTAGCCTGAATCCCTTCTGTTCCTACGTAAGCTCATTTCCTCTCATTCTGCCCAAAGCAGAAATAGGGAACAGCTGCTCCCCATCACTGGTTCATAGACTTGAGGACGTTTATTCCGTCCATCCCCTACATCTTCTCTTCTCCAGAATAAATACCCCAAACCCCAGAAACATTCTTTGAGACTTACCCAAACCATGGTGGCCGATTACTAAGTGCTTCCTTAAATCTCAAAGCTGGTGTGAGGCAGCAGCTTCCGTTCTTGAATAGCACACTTTATTGTGTAGACATGGGTATCCGGTGATACAGAGCTCTGAGAGTAAACAGAGCCTCCCTCTAGTGACCGAAGACTCCTGGCCACCTTGTTGTCCCAGCATGGCCAGTGTGAAGTTCAATCCATCCTCCCCTCAAAGTACCATTGCCACAATAGTGCATTTTAAAATTAATTGAAGAATTTGTGTTAGGATCGTGCATGCACCTGAGAATGGGGAAAGAGGAGGAAAGAGAGCGAAGGCATTTCCGCAGCTATAATGCCTCAACACTGTTTCTCCAGTCCTCAGCTCCTGGCAGTCCTGGCTACCTGCACAGCACCCGGGGGTGTTCTGGCTGACCCTGCACTCCAAACCTTCAGTTGTCGACGTGGTTTTCAGCCTGTAGAGCACTGCAGCGCTGGGCTGGAGTATTTCTTACTATTAACTCTACACCACATGCTGCTACACACTTTGTGTAGATCATCACACTTAACACAACCAATCTGTTGGATACTTTTAACTGTAATTCATAGATGAAAAACAACTTCTAACGATCTCACTATTAATACGTGACTGGCACTTGAACCCACAGCTCTGATCCATAACCCAAGCTCTTGCCACGATGCCTGGCTAAGATCTGGTTTCCCCTCTGAAGAGTCCCATCAAGACAGGCATGATGGGAATGGTCAGAAACAGACCAGAACAACTCTCTACAACGTTGTTTCTGGAGTGAGAGCCCTTTCTAATTCTCATTCCTTTTTTTCTTATCTCTGCAGAGTAGGCTAGTGTTTCAGAAAGCTCTTTCATTTTATTCTTTATCTAAAACGTCAAACAATGCATTACATGTATGTTTAATTATGATTGCCTATATATACTTGGCTCTTCATTAGTCTTGGCCTGTTCCAAGGCAGGGACTTAGCTTTGTTTCTATATTTTCTGCACCTATGTCATCTATTGAGTGGACACTGGAAATATGTTTAGAATATGACTCACTCTCTGAATGAATGAATGAAACATACACAAACTTACTTTCTTTTTTTTTTTTTTTGTTTACAAAGACTCTTGTTATGTGCTTACCAGAGAGACAGAAAGTGAGAAGCCAAGCCCCAGGGGAGATGGCCATACCACAATCCCTTCTCTTCAAGCCACCATGTCTGGGATTTGAACCGTGGTTGACTGTGTGGGAGTCAATATCTTAACTCTACGCCACCTGCTGTACTCTCCCACACCCCTGCACAAAACCTTAATCACTAACTACCCAGTTCTCAAATTCAAAAGTACTTACAGGTACATATGGATCTCTTTGAATAAATGCTACTTCCACATTTATTCCCATCACAACACTGTTTGAGGGGCATTGAACAGTGGGGAGATAAAGAATCTAATCTCATTTTCCCCATAAATTCTGAACATGATCTTGGAAAAGTCACTTGTTTCTTCATCTGAAAAATGAGGAGAGCTGGTCTGGATGATATTTGAGGCATTTTTTAGTCCTAAATTTCCATAGTCCATAGAATTCTATGGCTATCTATCTACCTTAATCAGACTTATCTAAATAATCACAAAAAATACTACTTTATGCTAGAGAAACACAGTCATAATAAACTAAGCAAAACCAAATGCCCTTCAATATCCTGTTGTGAACTATAAAAGGTCCCCTAAAATCACATTTTCCCCTTGAAACAGGATGTAGGAAAAATATTTTCCTATTAAATCCTTTTAAAGTGCAAGGGAAAGTATTTATTCTGTGATTTGCCGTCCAACTCAATAAAAAGTGGAGGATTCAGCCATCTTAATTATGGAAGACACTGTCAAAAAAAGCTAAGGTGGTGGAAATTCAAGTTGGAAACCAAGACGCCATGCCAACAAAACAATGCACAAGTTCTCTGAAGGGAGTTTTCAAGTGTGTATCAAGAAGTTTATTTCTGCCATTATGTTGGGGGAAACCAGTAAATGAGTTTTTATGAGGTGATTTATAAAACCCCTGGGGTGGACGAAGCAAGCACTGTGAAGAAGTTGCACCAAACTTCCAAACCTGTGGGGTGAGGGGAGAAGAGGACGTGAACTTGGGTGATTGATGGTCATAATGTTGCGAGTTGAGTTTTTTAGGGACGTTAAACAATGTGGAATAAGTACCTTAAGTGAGGTAGAAAGAGCTAGAAGATGTCAGAATAACACTGCTGTGAACTTCCAATATTGGAAAGCCTCCTACTAGATCAAATCCTTCCGTAGACTCTCAGGGTGTCATCAGCAGGCCTGCACACGCTAGCTGAGAAGTGGAAAAGAGTAGCAGATCTCGTCATTCATCCAAGAGGGCACACATGGGTATTTGCCCAGTTCATAATCACCCCACTTTTCTGTTGGAGCTACCTTTCTATGGTAGGAAGAATAATGCCCCCACCACCAAAGATATCTAAGTCCTAATCCCCAAATGTGTAAATATGCATGTTACATGTCAAGGAGGAACCAAGGGTGCAGGTAGAACGAAGACTGTTAATTAGCTAGTCTTCGGAGAGAGGTTATTCTGGACTGTGTGGGTGCGCCCAACATAATGACAAGGTCTTTAGCAGTGGAAGAGGGAGGAAGAGGAGTCGGTGTAAGGATAATGTGGCGTGAGGATGGGACTTGCCATTGCTGGATTTGAAGGTGGAAGGTGGGGCCGTACACCAAGGAGAGCAGGCAGCCTCTAGGAGCTGGAGAAGGCAAGGAAACAGATTCTCCCCACAACCTCCAGAGTAGAGTACAGCTTTGACGAAACTTTAATTTTAGTCTGGCGAGACCCATATTAAACTTTTGACCTCTAGAACTGTATGATAACACATTTGCTTTTTTTTTTCCCCCCAAGGTTTTTGCCATAGGACGCATGTGCTCACCAGAGAGAGACAGGAACAGTGAGAGGGAAAGTGAGAAATCACCCCTTGCGGGGATAACCACGGCACAATTTCTTCTCCTCCATTCTCTTCCTGAAATTTTGGGCACACACACAAGTACCAGGCATGATTTTTTAAGCTGCCAGGTCTGGAACTTGAACCATGGTCAGCCATGTGAAAGTCCATCACCTTAACTACCACACTGGCTGTCCCCCCACATTTGCTTTGTTTTAAGCCACTAAATCCGTGGTCATTGGTCCCAGTGGCAGTAAGAAACAAGCATGCCCCCACCAGAGAGCACATCCTGACAGCCACGTTTGAGCCATGTAACTCTGGATGCCGAGCTCTAGCTGATGCCTGTGGGAAATGGGGCAAGACTATGTCTTAAGCTGTGCCCGTGGCACTCAGCATCCTCAGAATTTGGTCTTGGGATTGATACAACAATCTGTGACTAGAAGCATTACATATAAGTCCAGGAGTTGAGGGGGGCCTATGTCCCCTCAGGAACAGAAGCAAAAGCTGGCCTGAGGTAATAATTAGGTTTAGGTTAAGAAGAGAGAGGCGGACAAAGAGCGAGCTCTGGTAGTGTTCTGGCTCCCAGCACCCTCTGAAGTTAGGTATGATTCTGCAGAACGTACTTACTCTACCCACGTCACTGCCCCTCTGGTTTGGGTCAAAGCTAAGGCAACAGAGCAAACGTCCTCAGCTCAGAACTACGGGGACCAGCAGTTAGCGTAATGGCTATGTCGCTGGACTCCCATGTAGTCGACTGCGGTTCGCGTCCCGGACCGGGTGGCTTAAAACTCACACCGGGCGCGTGTGCGTGTGTGCCCAAGATCCCGAGAGGAGAATGGAGAAGGGATTGCGGCATGGCCATCCCTCCTGGGGGGTGATTTCTCGCTTTCTGTCTCTCTGTCTGTCTGGTGAGTGCCCGTGCCCTATAGCAAAAACCTCTCCCCCCGACCCCCCAAAAAAGAGAACTGCAGATAGATTTTCCAAATGGAAAATGCCCTAAAACCAGAGGACTAGGATTTCTTCCACGGGGATGTACCTGGTATTTAGGGGGAAATCCCTGCCCGTAGGATTCAGAAGTGATTAATATTAAATCGCTCAGAAAGTCAGGATGCATTTTTGCATAGAAAAACAGAAAAATACATTGTGACTTTCCCGACGACCTCGTAGGTGCTCCTGTATTTTTCAGAGTCTCAGAGAGGTGAATCAACTTGCCCAAGGTCACAGAGCTAGTGAGTAAAGCAGCTAGAATTCAAAGTCTTTCCATTTCTATCTATCTATATCAAGGATTTATATATATCCTATTAGTCATCCTCTGCTAAATGCTTCCTGGACTTCTGTTTTAATTGGGAAGAGTTCAGAGATTTCATAAATGTTCCTTAGGTACCCTGAAAAAAATGCCTTGGGTACTAAAATACTCAAGGCTACCACTGTCTGGAGAGGAAAACAGTGAACGTGTGATGGAACGGCAGCAGGTCCAGGCCTCATAATGCTGAGAACTGCAGGTTGGATAGATGACAGTTAGCAGAGCAATCACTTCTGGTTCTCCCTTCTTCTTTTTTATTTTTTGTTTGGAGAGGTTTTTGCTATAGGGCATGTGCGCTCACGAGAAAGACAGAGAGAGACAAAGAGACAGAAAGTGAAAAATCACTCCCACCTCCATTCTCCTCTCGGGGTCTTGGGCACGCACACACACGCATGCTTGAGTTTAAGACACTGGGTCCAGGGAACCAGCAGTTAGCGTAATGGCTATGTCCCTGGACTCCCACGTAGTCGACTGCGGTTTGCGTCCTGGACCCGGTGGCTTAAAACTCACGCTGGGCGCATGTACGTGCGTGCCC